AAACAATATTAATCGTGTAAGGTATTTTTTTTACATTTATTAATACTGACACAATAGCTTCTAAATATCGTCGTAAAACTCGTTTAGCGCAGCTTTTGGTAGGGGATTGCCCTTATTTATACTATAGACTTGTATGTGTTTATTCATTTCTTTTAGTAAGATCTTTGGAAAAACATATTTATATTATATTTTTACTCGTATATTAACACAATGATCAAGCTAGTTAAAAATAATTATTATTTACTGCAGAAATTATTGATTCATGTATTCTTTACAAAATTTTAGAAAATAGATCCGCAAAATAAAACTTGATGTTTGTATCAACTTGCATTATATTAAATTTAAATTTTAAAGTTTATAAAGTATGATTGTGTAATTAAATAATTATGTTGTTTTTATATTAAGAATATTATTAAATTAAGACACGAAAAATAAAAAATAAAGTTGAGAGTACAAAATTAAAGTTCATTATTTTATATTGCTGAAACATGAGGTTGAGCTAAATTTCCTTTTCACTTTCATTCTATTTGACCGACTTCCAAAAAGGAGGAGGTTCTCAATTCGGCGAAATCTTTTTTTTTATGTATCGAAATCGATCGAGCGGTTTCTTATAAAATTACCAATATTTTTTTTTATAAATAAATTGATTAATCGAATATGTTATTAAAAAACTTTCTTCTTACAAATTACCTGGTTATTACGTCTACACTCAAAATGAAAAAGAATAAAAACTAAAAAAACCAACTTCCAGGCACTAAAATGTAATAAATAACTAAACGGGAGTTTTCATTTAGAATAGATACCTAATTAGATATTTTCGAAGTCGGTGCCAGCCGACAATATTTTAAGATATGAATATCTAATAGGTAAATATGATTAGGTATGAATTCTATTATAGTTAAAATATCATACCTACATCAATTGTGATGTATTTTACGTATCGAAAAAATATATAATAGTTTTGCTTTGCGTCGACTGGCACCGACTACGAAAATATCTGATGAAATCTATTCCGATTCTTGTATCTATTCTAAATGAAAACCCTCGTTTAGTTATTTTTTACATTTTAGTGCCTCGAAGTCGGTTTTTTTAAGTTTTTATCACCTCCAGGTAAACTAATAAATTAATTAAATTTCTAAGAAATCTATTGTTAACTGTAACGCCGGCGTGTCCGCTGTCGTGGAGGGATTATTATATTTACAAAATATATTTTAGTATCACATAATTTTATAAATGTATTACCGGATATTATCAATGAAGTGTTAAATCGTTCCTCTAAATCAGCTGTTTCAACTATCGATCCTATTATGAAGCCAACTGTAAATGTCATTCTCACGCGTTGTAAGCTACCTATTTAGACACCTTCCACAAATGTTCGCCTAATGCATAACAAAACATTAAACAGAAGTCTTCCAGACTAGATTTCCTAGACTTGATTAATGTAGAAATCAACAGTCAACTAGTTTACTGTCCAGTTTTGTAGCAAATTAGGATACGTACAGTAAATAAATTTACACAAAATTACATATTACTGTCTGCCGGTCCAATTACAAGTATTAAGTATTTTCATAAAAATATTAGAAATGTAAGGGTGAAATGAAAATTACTGACCTATACGTTTACTGAGATGCGGTGTTGTCCTCTCCGTCTCTTCCTCCTCGACGTCTACATCAAAAGAAAAAGGAAAACTCTTCGTGGAGCCGACGAAACCCGCGGCCATAATAAACACACTAACAAGTAACAACCACTCGATAAGCATAAAATGCGCTACTGGAGAGTGAAAACGCTGGAATTTGGAAATGGTTACCGGGCTGCCAGTGTAAAAAAAACCAATTGATTTGGAAATTACTATTTTAAATCCTTTAATACATTTAATTATTAAAGGAACACAATAACATACAAATTTTAATTCGATTTCAATCAATTTCTTTTTTTAAATCGTTGTAAATCGTGCCGTTTGAGCAAATTACTTTATGTAGAATGGAGAAGACAGAGAAATGACTGAAAGTAGAATATCTAAAAGATATCAGTTTTTAAATTAATTATGATTAGAACTTTTTGTACTTTTTACATTTTTGTTGAATTTGTTGGCGTTTTATCTATATCTTTATAAAGTTAAAGAATTGTTTAGTTTTTGTATGTTAGAACGCCATAATTTCTACCAAAATACCAATCCGATTTGAAAAATCCTTTTTCATTTCATAACTTACTCGTGACTTAACCTTGCTTCGCTCGGGTTCCGAAGTATCGAAAGGGAGCCTGTGTTAATCCAGGTTATATCTATGACTTATAAGCCGGTGCGACCGCTCATATAACATATACAGGGTTATTGATAATATGTCACGATCCCGTTAAAGGATTGTAATACAGGACATTAGGTATCAAACGACCCCCAATTGCCAAAGTGCATAATATGCAAAAGTGTATCGTTTTCGAGTTATTATCTTCATCTTATTCTTTATTTATTTCTCATTATCTGTCAAGAAAAAATGATACAACGAAGAGACCAGTGGAAAATTTTAACAAATTCTATTGTTAAGGAATTAAATCAGGATCAAGGTAAAAACGACTGTATGCAAAATAGTTAAAGATTATTTTTCAATAGGATCAACAGGTAAAAAAATAGACAAACTAGAGCTGTTCGTGCAAATAATGTATTAAAAGTACTGTATAGAAAATACCTGTACAATGATGTATTAAAAATACCTGTAAAATCGATTGTAGAACTTAAAACTAGAATAATAAATGCTGCAACTTCCATTCGACATAACTTAAGTAGTGTTGTAGTTAAAACTTAAAAGCGAGCTAATAAAGATAATACGTGTCTATATACGAAATAGGGGATCACATTTTGAGCATGAGATAAAATCGAAAAATTTAATTGTAAGTTTTTTTTCATTTTAGCTAACCCGTATGATTTCCAAAGTACCTTTATGTCACTGGCAACATTATGAGCATTAGCAGTTATAACTATACTCTTTGAGCATTAGTATTTAGTAGTCTCTTATCTCATTCTGCGTGTATGAAAATATGATATCGCGCCGAAAATCTGATTTGATGATACCATTTAGTAAATACATTACATACAGTGATTAAATAGACGTGTCTGTTGTCACATAAAAACTATATTTAGAAACTAATGTACGCCGAATCGTTTGTTTGTATTTACAATCATTTTATGCCTGAGATATGTATTACATTTATTGTGCCTAGATGGTTTAGTGGCTAGAATTTACGGCCGCAGATTTGGAGGTTCTGGGTTCGAGTCCGCGGTCAGGCCTATTTCACTTATTGAGTATTTCTGCCAAGAAATTCTCCGTGATAGCCCCCGGAGTTGGGAAGTTGGCGGCGTTTCATCCCCATTCCCCGTGCCTCGAAGTGCACGTAAAGAGAGTGCACTTGTGTCTGCGCGCACGACACACGCGCTGCACTATATGTATATTATCTCCTGCGCAGTTGCCTAGGCTCAATGAGATTTGCCGCCGTAACCGAAATCGATCAGAAGGACATTATTAAGTATTATATTTTAATTAGTCTACCAACTTCCAACATCTAGTGTAATTTACAACATAATCACTGAACATTCGTCAATAATAAAAAAAAACATACCAAAAATAGTTGGTCGGCCGGATTTTGTCTGAAAAATTACTTAATAATTTTTGTATTATTTGAAGAAAATTGTTTGAAATCAGCGATGACAAGAAAACACCATAAACACTATTATCGCTACATATATATACGCTCGTATATATGATAATATCGAGCTTGTCATATTATTGATCTCATTCTAACAGTCTAAACCATGGATGACAAATAGAACTCTAAACTTTCGATTTACACAGGTACATAGAATTTAAAAAAAACGCGATAAAGGGACTTTCAGTATCATAGGCTCCCGAAGCATTACTTGTTGTGGACCTCATAAAATTAATAAAAAATCATTAGATTATTGCTTAAATTTATTCAAAATTACAATAAAGATAAAAAATTACAATAAAAAATACTTTCAAATTGATCGCATCTATATTATAAAGAAATAATTAACACGGAAGACAAACAACAATTGTTTTTTTTTCTTCAATATAAGAAACGTTTTATTTGCTTTGGTTACTTAATACTTCTAGATAACTAACTTATAAATAAACTGTTAGATAAGTAATATATATTTTAAACAAGTAGGTATACCTACATGTATGTAAAATCTATAGGTATTAGGTACACACAATAAAATTCGAACTAGGTCGAATTAGTACATTAAATATTTGTTGGAAAATCTTATTTAAAATTTAAATAGTCATTATTATCGATATAGACTATGTAGTTTTTAGAATTTTCGTCTGTCTGCATGTCTGGGTACGCATCACGAGAAAACTACTGGACAGATATTGATGAAAATTGGTATGATGATAGCTGGTTATCCGGGTTAACATACAGGATACTTTTTACAACAATTGTTTGAAAAACACAATAAACACTAGGAATAGAAGTTAAGCTATTGTTACGCTCAAATTTCAACTCCTAAAAGGCGAATAAATAAAATTAGATACACTATCTTATTCTTTTAAACAATTTAAAGATAAATTAAAAATATTTTAATGAGTAAAACATATTACTGTTTGTTTATTGTTATGTTGTTAAATCGATTTGAGAATTTATTAAAGTGGACTATTAATTTCGTTTTTAAACAATTAATTGACATACACTTAAATATTTCTTTTAGTTTCCAGTATTTGTTTCAGGTACCTATAAGGTGTTCTTCAAAATGTATCTGTTAAATTTCCCTCTACGATTTTTCTGTTAAAGTTTGTATGCCTATGTGTAAACTGTACTGTGTATAAATACCTATTGTAGGTACTTCGCTCAAAAATTTTTTTTACCAAAACTCTTCATCCACCTCAATCAGCCCGTTAATGGTGTCCATTTATTGAGGAACACCAACTGAGGTGAAGAGTAATTTACTATTGTAGGAAAACTAAAAACGTAACATACTCTATGGACTATGTCAGAGTCACTACCACAGAAAATATACAACTTATATCAACAAACTGCATTTTCATATATTTTTTATATATTTTGAGCCCTAACTCTTTGTAAACTTGTAAGTTATTCCCACTCTTAACCCATTTTGCATTCCATATTCCCGAATGACCAGAAAACTTTTCTATTAATACTGCTATTACAACAGCAAATTCAAAGTTATTACTACAAGATAGGTATTCGAATTGATTACTTTCAATAACTCTTGCCCAGTGAATTGTTTTGGAATTGTGTTCTGACATATATTTCTTTAAAAAATTGTTGAACCTTTCCCACGAATTTGTTAGCTCTTCAACATTCAGCATTTCAAAGAGCTTATCAAAGGAATATGTGTGAATTGCTACTTCTTGTAACATTTTAATTAAATCCATCTTAAAATTTGCAGTATGTGTCATGAGACCAAACTTTAATACATTTTTAATATAATGTTCAAGGTCTCTATGCCCATCGAGTAAAATAGATTGTATGACTAGTCTTGCAAACATTATCTGGGTCTTATTATCCATTTTACGAAAAGTTTTGAAACTCTTTTTAACACAGGTTTTGTCAGGTATTGAATAATTATTGAATATTATTTGTTGTAAAGATCTGAAAAAATTATTTGTAAAGGCTGACATCACCTTATGATAAGGCAAAATGAGTGTGCGCATTAGAATAAGACCAGTTAATCCAAAATAATATTTCAAATATGCTCTGGCACACTCGTCATTGTCCCATTTGTTAAATAATTTATTAATAGAGGCACAGAATGCTGCATTTTCCACGGGTGCAATAGTATCAGAATTTGTGCTGTTGGCTTTATTTGTCTGTGAATAAACAGATTTTGAGCTAAACCATGTAATTTTTTTTATTGATCTTGACATGTCACTATCACTCAAATTATCAAGTTGCGATTTTTGTGATACTGATTCCTTTTCAACATTTACAGGTACTTTTTCTTCAGAGCAATTTGGTGATTTGACCTCAGATTGATAAGTTATTGAATCATTGATAATATCTTCACTTTGACAATCATCTAATTGTATATTAGTTAGTTTGTTTCTATTCTTCATAATATTTTTTACTTCTGTGGTTAATTTATCTTCTGGTGACACAAAAAATAAAGTACCTTCTTCATCATAAAAATAATCATGCCATAGTACATTTTCAGAATTCCATGTTGTAGGCATAATAGAAATGGTTGAAAAAATAATATCAGTGACACTAAGACCTTTCTGGACTTTACCTGATAAATAAAATTTGAGAAATCTACTTACAATACTCTTTTGTATATCTATATTTTTCACTTTACTTGGAAAATTATCTTGAAAAGCAATTTTATAGCACTTTTCATCACTCCATTCTTCTAGTGATACATTAGTTTCTTCAAATAAACTGTTTTCCACCATTTTCTGTAATTTAGAAGAAATAATAAAATTATTGATCATATTTATGTATCAAATGGGAATTTCCCCACAGTAATATCGGAAATCAGTGTTTCTATATAAAGTACATTTTTCATATGGCAATGCATATAAAGGTCAGAACCATGGATGACAAATAAAAATCAGAACATCGTTAAAAAAACCGGCCAAGTGCGAGTCGGACTCGCGCACGAAGAATTCTGAACCATTTTCTATAAAAACGGCAAAAAAATCACGTTGTATGGAAGCCCCCTTAAATATTTATTTTATTCTGTTTTTAGTATTTGATTTTACAGCGGTAACAAAAATACATAATCTGTGAAAATTTCAACTGTTTAACTACTAGATCACGGTTCATGAGATACAGCCTGGTGACAGACGGACTGCAGAGTCTTAGTAATAGGGTCCCGTTTTACCCTTTGGGTACGTAACCCTAAAAAGTACTACTATAAAAAAAAATAAAGATCATAGATACACAATCCCATCAATGCAAAAGTTCTAACAAAAGTTTAAAATGTCACCAATTGTGTTTAGGTAATCGGGCAAATTTCTCGAAACGAGGGCGCCATAGTGTGGCCTATTTACATTTAGTCTGAGGTTAAGCAAGTAAGTTTACCGTTTTAATGCCTGTTGTTCATTATTTTTAGTGTAATCTAATTTTGGCCTTATTGTAACTGTCCTTTGTGTACAATGTGCAATCTTAATACTGTAACGCTGTTTGATTACCAAATAAATAAATAAATAAGCAATGAGGTAGAATTTTGTGTTTTCCTTCCGCCAGATTCTTCGATCACTGTAGTCCTCAATATATTGGAAAGCTCTATAGATTTTTTTATTAAAATTTAATTAAAATGATTAATTGTGCAATGCCAGAATGCAAAGAAAATAGATATCAATTATCATTTATTCCCAAAGACAAAAACTAAAGAAATTAAAGGCTGAAGCAATAAGACGACCAAAATTGGCGGAGTCACACTTGTAAAAAAGTACAAAAATTAAAAAAAAAAATTCACCTGTAAACGATTAAAGAGTTTTAAAATCTCTTTCTGTAGAATGATGTCTACATAGCCTTAAATATGAAGATTGTGATTTCGCAAGTTTTGGTTGTTTAATTGCTTTAGCCCACAATTTCTTCAGTTTGTTGCCTTTTTTGAACAAAATATGATGTCCATTTTCTTTGTATCCTAGCAATGTACAATTTGTCATTTTAATTAAATTTTAAAAGAAATTTAAATCCATTCACGCTATAGAGCTTTACAATGTAAAGAGGGCTATAGTGGTAGCGACATCTGGCGGGAGAAAAAAGGAAAGATTCTTGGCCATTGGATTGAATGGGCATTAACGCCATCTATTAAAATTTATTTGTACTTCTAAACATTTGTTTTTATTTTTTAACCGACTTCAAAAAGAAGGAGGTTCACAATTCGATTGGTATTTTTTTATATGTACACCGATTACGCTGAGATTTATGATCCGATTTATGTGATTCTTTTTTAATGTGATGTGTAATAGTTGATATTTGGTTCGATAAAAATTTAATATAGTTTGGCCCAGTAGCTTTCATTTTATGAACATTTTCGTTTACGTGGACGATGTAATTTTATTTTAGTTTGTGTACGACTTTTTAGGAGTTTTCATTCAGGTTGATTATATATTATTATCAACCCGTGTGCCGATAAGTGGGTAATAGGCTACCTGCAATTGAAGCGGAGCGAGCGTGCGGAGTAGAGAACTGAGATATATTATAACCAATCGTTACATTATTTCCTACTGTAGTTTACAGTATAGAACAACCTATTACAGACACTAAAAAGTAAAAAATAAAAAAAAACTACGTAAAAAAAACCGACTTCAATAAAAGTATAAAATAACTAAATAAAGATTTAATTTAATACACCTCTTATGCAAACCTTTAATATTAATAAAATACAATTATATGGAGTTTACCTATTAGATACGAATATGTAATACTATAATCTATATTCCGTACGTAAGTACCGTAGTATTACTTTAATAGTTCAACCAAAAGTCGTAAAATTGTTGTGTGTTTGTAGTTCTTCCAGTTTTTTTTTTTTAATTCGAATTGTAATCTTTTTCCATTATTGTGTATTATTTTAATTGTGTTAGTGTAATTTGTTATTTATTTAATGTAATATTTTATAATAGAAATTTATTATTGTAACATAGATATGATATAAACATTTTATAAAAACTCCAAATTTGCATGTGGTATTCACCTTAAAAGGTAGTGCAATTAGCTATAAGAAAATAAAAAAAATGTACTCGTATATAATAAATTGTATTATTGTAACTAACCACTGGTGAATCTAATAAATAAATAAAATTTCAAATATTAGCTAAGACCTAAGTTTTGTAAAAGACCATTATTTAATTAAAATTGTAAATTGAAAACAGTATAACATTTACCAGGTAAGTTTGATTATTCTAGTTACTAAAGTAAGTGTATTATCAAAATAAGATAGAACTTTGTCAACACTTATATTATAGAAATAAAGCTTGCGAGTTTGTTTGCAATGGATTAACCAAAAATCCGCTGAACTGATTTAGATGTTTAGTATGAAGGTGGTTTGACACCTTGGGAAGGACATAGGATAGTTTTTATCCCTGAAATCAATACTTAATGGGTTAAAAAGAGGGATGACAGTTTATATAGAGAATCAATAATTTCTTAAGGGATATAAAACTCATCATACCTATGTATACACTAATATAAAGTCTATCTATTCCATACAAAAAGGTTAAAACATAACTAGGGATAAACCCAAGCAAAGAGAGGGTGAGTTGCTTAATAAGAAGATAATTATCTTTTTATGATTTTATTCAATACATGTTTTGTTACTTTTGCTGTTAATTATACTATGGATATCTATTTCTATGTTCACTTCTTTGCAGCCTGTTCATCAATGGGGTCCAGTTTGGGCTCCTCAAATTTGAATGACGGGAAAGATGTCATGTCCACACCGGGTCCTCCACCAAATTGACGTTCAAGCTTTTCCAATTCAGATTTCAATTCCTTTTCAATTGCAGGGCTAGGGTCTACTAATTTGCCTCCACTGAAAATTATAAAAAAATATTTCAATGTTAAAAGTTCAGTAATGCCAATTTGATTTTAGTAATACATAGCGTATACAATGAGCAACTTCTACATGGCATGTTCTCCAATCCAAAGGAACATCGTACATTGTACCACAGACCACATAACTTTCTCTTACTTCCTATGGTTTTAATTATTGTGTATGCAATATATAAAATGTATATAATATATTTGATTAAGTTTTATAAATGCAAAATGTTGTAATTATGGTAGTACTTCGTCATACTGAAATGGCTGGACATATTTGGATTAAATTTAGTACACAGAATTATTTAGTAAGTAAACAAGCAAAACGAGGGTTTGTCTCTTATATATAACAGTTAGGAAAAACAGTAACTTTAAAGTATGAACTTAATAATTATTCATAAAGTTAATTAAAATTGGATCAATGATTGATACATCATATATTTGTGAAAATATACGTAAAAGCTACAACTGTACATAAAAATATATACTTACGCACTCTTCTGTTTGTACTCCCTAATTTTGTCCAAAAACAATTGCTGAATAGGATCAGTAGCTTTTTGGGCTGCTGCTAAGTTTCTGGTAAAGACAACAGATGTTCGTGCTGCCCGAAGACCACCAAGTAACGATGAAGTGAGCATCTGATTAAAAGAATAATTAATAACCTTAGAGACCAATTACATAACTACAATACGAGAAATATTTTAAAATATATTTACGACATGAAGTAAACCTATGAATAAATATAATAATTATCAAGAAAGAAAGAAATCGAATGAATAGTATTTTATGGCTTACCTTTTTTTATTTTTAGAGTAAAACTATTAAAATGACTTCAGGCGATCCGCACTTTACAGATTATGAAAAATGTCAATGTCGAATGTCAATTCACAATTGACAAAAATCTCTACGACAAAAATCATGGACAAAAATGTTGTGCACTTACTCGACAAAAAAAACATTATCTCAACAAAAAACAAAACATTATCTCATCAAAAAATAAAGGAAAAATAAAACATTAAAAACAAAGACAAAAAGAGAAATAAAACATTAAAAAAATAATTTATCACAACAAAAAAGTAAAACAGATATCTGATAGTCATAAACAATTTTAAATCCTCAGTGATTGAATTTACGAAGATATGTTACTGCAGGACGAAATTAAATAAAATTTAATTTATTAAAAAACGCAAAAAGGAACGTTAGGTCTGTCAAAAATCAAAATATACCTACTAGTCAGTTGTCATTTACCAGGTAATTGTCAAATGACAAACACATATTTCAACTTCATTCATTTTGTCTTGTGAAGTGTTTGTATACGAAACATTTTGTAATTCTGATAATAAAAACTTTATGAAATTACCTAATTCTGTACTGCTACATTACAAAGTATTCAATTGTATTATTTAACATGGAGCGCGGTAAAATGTCGTCAGCCGGCCGCGGCGGCAAAAGTAAAGCACCACAACACCCTCAGGACATATTTGCATTAGGTGGTAAATCAACTGTCGTCGTATCGAGAGATTCTGAGAAAAGGAATATACATAAACCCTCCACAAGTGGTAAATGAGTAGAAAACCTTGTTTATTTATAATAAATACGAATACAATTCATTCAAAAATTCTTCCTTTCAGTTATCTTATACTTAAGCCTTGCTTAAGAGCTGTTAATATTAAATAAAAATACATAATTTTTGATTATTTAAAAAATAGAACCAGTGAAATCTATTTAAATTTAAATAGGAGTTGGGGAAAGAAAGAGAGAACCTTCAGGCTTTGGTAATCAACCTCAAAGTAAAAGAGCTAGAATAGGATCCCCTGCTGAAGCTGTTAGTGGCACCTCGTTGGATGTAGATCCTGTTGACCTTGTGCCTAATGTTCTGCAAGCTCTTGACACACATAACTCGGATAAATTGGTATGTTTTGTTTTTAATTGAAGTGATATTTTTATATATCTATTAGTACAAGAAAACTGTTTCAATTATCACTTAAGGATTTTGAACTCAAATATATATTAAAAATTAGATTCCTGCCATTTATATTTATTAAGGGCTTATATCTTTTTTTTTATTCTATATATTTACACCAAAATATTAATAAATAGCTAATACATAAAATTACAAGTACTGAAATGAACTAAATACAAATTGACATAATAATAATGTACATATTGTAAAAACTGTTGATTGTCAACAGCTAGGTCTATTAACAGGCTCTATCAGGCTGCTTAAATCACAGCGCTCAAAACCAGATCCAATCCTTTGTATGAGTATGCTGTATTTAACTAAAATAAGGCCTAATATGTTTGCTCATGAAACAGTAACACAAACTTTATGCACTTTACTGAAAAGAGAGCAAGGAGCTGCATTCAAAAGTAAAGGAAATCCATTGGTGTTTGTGCTGGCCTGTAATATGCTGTATGCTGGGCACAAAGACAGCAATAACTGGCCTGACACTTTTATAAAGGTAGGTTGAAAATATTTATATTCTATATATAAATAAAAATGAATGTTGCTAAGCGCAAAACTCAAGAATGGCTCGACCAATTCAGCTTATTTCTTTTTTCATATGTTCCTTATGGTACATGGAAAGTTTTAACCCATTTAAGCCTGCTGGCCCTGATTGGGGCCATTTCTTTAGATACCTTCAACTTTTCACTTTTTTTATTAACTGTTGGTTTTGATGTAAATGTGTTCTGTCATTGAGTGTATCCGCATGATAAATAACATAATATTCGAAAATATTTCTTAAAGTGGCTGTAATTGATGGTTTTATGTACTGCATTGTGTAAAAAGATAATTGACTAAAAGTAAGCCATAAATAATTGTGTTTACAATAAAAAATCTCGTATATTTTGATATTGTTCACTCGGCTATAGTTTTTCCTATTAATTGTTAAGATTTTATTAGGTATTTATCGAAAATTGACCATAATAGCTTTATTTTAGCGTAGTGCTCCCAAACAGGGCCAATGGGCTGATATGATGTTATTTATCGTTTATTTGTGACCGGCTTCGTTTTGGCGTAAATAACGACGAAACGATCGTTTGACGGCTCAATTGACTTTCTAGGGCTCGAAGAAGCCATTGAGTATATATTGAATGAGGAAGGGGATCCCGACGTCAGCTATGACCTAGTGGCTATTCCCCTAGACCCCAGTATTATCACAGATAAAGAAGAAGGGGGTGAAGATGATGTCTTACAAAATGCGATTCCGCGAGATAGAGAGACCAGGAAGAGTTAGATGCGTGAAGTGAGATATTTGGAAATAGAAATGTCGTTGAATGGGACAGCACGAAGACGAACCTTAGAAATACGTAATAGTAGAGCAGAATCCAACTTGGCGTAAATGTGACGATTCGTACGTTGACAAACCCTAAGCAGTGAGTAGTGCGCGAAACCTAAAGGAAGCCCTTATAAACGAACTAAAAGACCAAATTCCTAGCATCATTTCTGAAAAAAAAATGGTGTCGAGATCATGGACATAAATATTCTGAATACACAGTTGTTTGCCGTACAAAATAACAATCACGACTTCCAATAAATGTTAGTGACCTCAAAATATTGACCGACAGGAGAAAGATAGATGTAAGCATTCCCTTTGTATTTCAAAATTATAACAAAGGCATATTAGGAGTTCATAAGGCAGATCAGTTGGTTGCTGTGTATAGAACTGCCATACGAGGCGAAAAATGCTGGTGGGTTTCGTTTACGTATATATTGTATGTGGCTGTAGCGAATGCCTGGCGTCTTCACGTTCTGGCCGTGGAAGATAAATGGACCAGCTCCAGTTTCTTCGATCCATAGACCGATATTATTTGAGGACTGAAGGCTCTGAAAGACCAACGAATGAACAAATGAAGAATGGACGATGTCGTACACTTCCTTCATCAGTACCAAATATGAGTCAAATGTCAAATATGGTGTTGGACACTTTCATGGAAATTTACCAAGAAAGCTACGATGCGTTATATGCCGTAAGAAAGCACGTTGGCAAGGTAAAAAATGTGTTAGAACATTGTGCATCGAAACGGGATGTTTTGAAAATTATCACACATGAGCCCATTGGCCCCAGTTGAGGACGGTGTTTTTTTTCGTAGAAGGAAGATTATTTTTTTCAGTTTTTTTTTCGTAAAATTTATCTTTAGCATCCAATTGATAAATAAATAAAAGTGTTTTCAAAATTTTTGTGTTAGTTTGTATTTGGGTCCAAATGGGTTAATAAAGAGAAAAAATATAAAAAGTTATGTTGTTTACACTACTTACAACTCAAGAACAGCTGGACCAATTTTTATGATATTTGATTTTTTGGCCTTCTCTTAATCCGGAATAGGATAATTAAATATTAAAACATCAGAAAATTAATGAAAACAAATAATAAAAATTAAACATACTAATATGATTATATTTATTTTTAATAGTAACTTCATATTTTTTGTTTTTTTTTTAGGTATACATTGAAGATGCGCTTAATGAGCGCTGGTGGGTGGATTGCTCTTGGTGTAAATGCTTAGTAGAAAACATTGTTACAGCATTCGGAACTAAACAACCAGCACCACATTTGATACCCACTGACAATACCCTAGGTAAATTCTATTTATCACTTAAAAACTATTCCAATATTATATTAAAATTTTTGCTTTGTAATAAAAACAACTTGGTCATTTTTACTTCAAATATTGTTTTAAAAATTATCTTATAAAACCTTTTGTTTATAATTAAGTGCAAAAATTCTCACATATTATAAAAATATTAAATAATACTATGTGTTTTAATTTTATTAGGAACAATGTCTCCATCTGGTTCAGGCTCTCCATTAATGGGGAGTAATGAAGAAGACGCTGACAACACTGAACTTGAGTATTCCGTGTTCCCAAGGTAAAACATGTATCACTACCTATTTAAATTAAAATAAATACTAAGTACCTGGGCTACCGAGCTTTGCTCGGAGTTTTTGGCCAAAAAATATTAAATAAAAAAAAAACAAAAAATTGAATAAATACAAAAAAAAACAAAAGTAAAAACTTTGTATCCGACCGGGATGCGAACCCAGACACCTGTGGTTGTCAAACTTGCGCCTTGGCCGCTTGACCACTTATGATTAATTGATGCTTATGTCCTAGCGTGCAAATTAGCGACCATATCTTACGTGGAATGATGCGAAACAAAACCGCATGAAAGCTCAAAACACACACTCGTTTTTCCAGACATAAAACTAATCTAGATCGATTTATCGTCCCCGAAACTCCCTGTATACTAAATTTCATGAAAATCGTTGGAGCCGTTTCCGAAATTCAAATTTTATATACATATATACACACACCTAAATATATACATATATATACAAGAATTGCTTGTTTAAATATATTATATAGATAAATAAATAGACCTGTTTTAAGACTGATAGTTGTTAATTTAATTTAATAAAAGGGAGTATAGTCAGTCTTTTTAAAAAGCTACCATTGGCTTCTAAGGCAGCAAAAATCTCTATGGTATATTATTTGCATTTCTTCATTCAAAATTATTAGGTGATTTGGTAATATCAGTGTAATTAGAAACCTATTAATTTTATGTATCAATAAATGTGATTTTCAGATATTCCAGTAGTTATGAAACTGTGGAGGCACTGGTGCTGGAAGCCATCAAAGAGCAGATCCAAAGGAGAGTGGCCCCCGATGCTATTGGCAAGGGTTTTCTTAAATTGTTGTCAGCAACATGTGGCTTTCCAGAGGTATGCTTCCTTTTTTATTGAAAAAAAAGAAAACAAAAAACTCTTTATCTCAATTGATTAGTAAGTTTATCTACATATATAAAACAATGTCGTGTTAGTTACACCATTTATAACTCAAGAACGGCTGGACCAATTTTTATGATATTAGATTTTTTGGATTTCTCTTAGTCCGGAATATGATAATAAGTAATAAACCATCAGAAAATTTACAAAAAAATAATAATTATGTGTCCAACGCTGGCTAATAACTATTTATATCTAATTAAAACATATATAAAATAGTAACATGTTATATTTAACTTTTTATATAAAGATTATGCATGAACATTCACCGATTACTCAAAGACGTCTGAACCGATTTGGTTTTTTTTTGAAGGGTATATAATATACTTCCCAGGTTGAGTGGTTTTTAAAAAAATCAACAATAAATAAATATTTTTTTTTAAATAAATTGCTTAATCGAATATGTTATTAAAAAACTTTCTTCTTACAAATTACCAGCTTATTACATTTACACTATAAATAGAAAAATAAAAACTTAAAAAAAAACCTAGTTCCAGGTACAAAAACTAAAAAATAACTAAACGGGGGTTTTCATTTAGAATAGATACATAATCAGATATTTTCGAAGTCGGTGCCAGCCGATGCAAAGTAAATCTAATATATTTCGGTACGTAAAATACATTATAAATTGATGTATAATATTTTAATACCACCACAACCGCGGACATGTGTGTGTGTATGTGTGTTTGTGTCAGATCCGCATGATCGCGGCGTCGCGGCTGGAGGCGTGGCTGCACTCGGGCAAGCTGTGGCGCGCGGCGCAGGAGCTGCTGGCGCACGTGTGCGCCAACGCGCACGCCGCCGGGCCCAGCGCCGCGCGCGACCACGAGGTGCTGGCGCAGCTCGTGCGCATGCGCCTCAAGACCAAGCCGCTGCAGGCCGCCTACCAGGCCTGTCTACGGTAACCTACATCATTTTATATAACTTTTGGTTCATTATATAAAATAGAAAAAGGAATTAACGATACACACTACGTATCTACGATATTATAGGGGTATTTCATAATATTATTATTAAGGCGATTCATAGTATTTTTTCATATCTTTAACTATCACACATATTGTAAACTGAGAGATGTACGCAAAATGTAAAGTGTAAAGTAACAAAAAGAAGTAAAACAAAGAAGTACACGGTGTGACGTGTGCAGGGAGATGGTGTCGTCGAGCCCGGCGCTGCTACGCAGCGTGGTTACGCACACCATCTACAACGAGCTGTCCAACGTGCGCTCGCCCAACAACATGGCCGTGCTGGCCGCGCTCATCCAGGCGCAGCCGCAGCTCGTGCCCGCCGCCATGGCCGACACGTACCAGGTACCTGCTAGCCTTCTCTCTTTTACTTTGTTAAATAATTATTATAAATATATTTTTATTTGTTATTACGACATATTTTTGTAATTTAATGCTAGTGTTAAAAAAATTCCTAATTAAATGCCGAAATTAAAAAAAATATTTTTCTTTACTTTTTTAAAATAAAGATCACGAGTTTTATTTAAAAGAATCAAACAAAAGTTATTATGGTAATAAGAATTCGGACACTTCACGCGATGCTCTGTTCGCGTGGTACATATGTTTATTCCGAATTTCATAAAAATGTTGAGACTTCGAATAAGTAAACACTTAGTTGCAAAGTAACTTTGGTATGTATATTATATCGTATGTAAGTGTAATGTGGTCGTCTGTGCACAGGAGATCGTGTTCCGGCCGGACGACTACCTGCGGCCGCTGCGCGCGCTGACGCGCGAGTGCGTGCGCGCGGCGCGCTCCGACGCGGCGGCGCTGCTGCCGCTGGCGCGCGCGCTGGCGCACCCGCCACCCATCGACCCGCCGCAGGAGGTGAGCCGCGACGAGTGCGCCTCGCCCGACTTCATATACATGTTTAATAAATTTGTTAAATAATTCTTTCATACGTACAGGTTTTCCAAGTATATTTTTTTTACATAAAAAAACAAAGTATGTTAAAAATCACTCACACATAAGTATTTCAGATTAACATTTTCTATAATTACATTACCATTGCCTATGCGTTAAAGTCGCTAATATTACTATTCAGATTACGTAAAGAATGAAGCCAGTTGATATATTTTTAATACACCATATTAAAAAAAAGATAAAAGAGAAAAATCACTATGTTTTCACCGACTTTTTACATATACGTATAACTACGGATGTCATGAATTATTCTGATTCTTTAAAAAAAACCACAATGAAACTATAAAATCTATAATATTTTTTTATTTAACAATAACATCGGTCGGTCGGTGGGTGGGTTGCAGATCCGCGAGCGCGCGTTCCAGTCGATCGCGGACCTGTTCTGCGTGTGCTGCCTGGTGACGGCGGCGGCGGCGGCGCACGGCAAGCACGCGGGCGGCGAGCACCGCGCGCTGCTGGCCGCGCTGCAGCAGCAGGCGCTGGGCTGGCTGCTCGACACCGCCGTGGCCGTGTACCGCCCCGCGCGGCACGACTGTCTGCACGTGCTCAACAAGGTTACATCATCCATCACTACATCCATCGTTGTGTGTTCAACTCTTTTAATGGACATGATCCTCCCTTCCATGCGACGAGGATCACATCATAGTCCGTCACGCTGGGCAGGTGGACTTTACATGTTTTCTGAAAAATTGTAAGGTTCTCTCAAACATGCAGGTTTCCTCGCGATATTTTTCTTCACCGTAAGACAAGTGGTAATTATGTTGAAAATGATTCATACATGAAAATATTATAGATGCGAGATCCGGTATTTGAACTCGCTTCACTCGGTTTCCCAAGCGAGCGCGTTACCACTACCGTTGCCTTTTATAACTAAAACTAAATAGATATTTGGTATATAATGTGCGATATGGTTGCGTAGATAATGTTCGTGGAGCCGGCGGAGACGTACAGCAAGGTGGACAATTGGCCGCCGGAGTCGGAGCGCGCGCTCACGCACCGGCTGTGCGCGGAGGCGCCGCTGCCGCAGAACACGCTGCTGCGGCTCATCTTCATCGGCCTTTCAGAGGTATACTTGTTTGTATATGTTTTTTCACTCGCTTTATTAATTTTTTTTGTTTATAGAAAAGTGTTATTCGTTTTTTTTCCACAATGTTCTTACATTAAAAACACATTTACTTGCGATTCAAATTCTGAAACTCATCCGCAAATCTTACAAGTTACCCATTAGAGTTGAACTAACAGAGCAGCTATAATCCATTTTATAATAAATTTTCTTTATAATATGAATATGTATTTATATTTTGTCAAATTCCGATTAGCGCCATCTTTTGGTAAATTTTGTTACCAACAGCCACTTCACTAACAAAAATACAGTGTGATAATGATTTACTAACAACGTTGCATTGTGTACGTAACATAATATATAAGGTACAAACTGTGTGTGTACCAGGACATCCCGGTGACGGCGACGGAGGTGTTCGAGCTGATCGAGCAGCTGGTGCGACGCGCGTGCGCGCTGCCGCCCGACGAGCAGCCGCTGCAGGTCGACAAGCTGGAGATAGCCGAGTACATCTTCCAGCTCTGCCAGTTCCACCCGCCCGACAACATCACGCTGCCGGCCGGGTATACCATGCTCCTCTACTGTTGTACACTCACTGGGTTTGACTTACGAAAGGTCAAGGAGAGATCTAATATGGAGAGTTTGGTATTTTAATTAATATTCTGAATTCATGAAATGAAACGATCGCCGTTTGTGCTGTCATATTGGATCATCCATTTGGATGAATAGTACCGAAAAGCAGTTTTCGAGAATATATACCTTCTCTCCAGTGGCATCTATGTTACAAATAGTTGTAACAAAAATTATGCAGCAACATTTTTTAAATACATAAGTAATTTATAAATTTCAGCAAATTATACTCAATAACAAGCTCATACAATAACATTAACTTAAAAGATAATATTATCGCCATTTCTACACTATTGTACAATGTACATTATATACAATAAATATGATGTATGACATATACATTGTTGGAACAGATACACGCCGCCGGCGCTGGCCATCACGTCGCTGTACTGGCGCGGCTGGATGCTGCTCACCATGCTGGCGGCGCACAACCCGCAGGACTTCGCCGAGCGCGCCGCCAACGCCTACCCCACGCTGCGCGCGCTCATCGAGTGCTGCATCACGGGGTACGAGTACAGCGACATCACCACCATCATTGTCATCATCATTATCATCATTGTCATATGTTACTCTTATTGTTCTTTTTAAGGTTCTATGCACACCAAGTTTAATAAATGCGTCTGCACATATTTTGTGCTGTTAAATTTAAAAATATGCATATTGTTTGATTTCGCATCGATGCAAATGTGCGACAAGCACATCGACAGAACGATCATTGCGTGTTAAAGAGTCGTGCACAATTTCTTAAACTTTCTCACAGGACTATTTTGCAACTTATTGCTAGCACTTATCACTTTCTTTCACTTGACTTTAGTTCTGGCGTGATTCATGTAAAGACCATCTTCACTTGTAGCTGTGCAAATGTGGAGCAAATAAAAAATTAATAAACTATATTAGTTGTAAAATACTTAACACATCAATTTAAGCCATGTGTATTTTTTAAGTTACATATACCGCATACACAATCTAAACTTAAAATTCGTTCCATACCCTAGAAATGTCTTCCTAGGAGCTGAAAGTATTTATACCAAAACAATATTCATAATTTAGTGACTCAGTATATGTACATAGATATATTGATTGTTGTGTGGGCACAGCAAGCCGTCGATCGAGTGGAACGGCGCGGGCGAGGCGGAGCGGCTGGAGGCGGAGCGCGCCGCCGTGCTGCAGCTGGAGACGCACCTGGCCGCCGCCAGCAACGCCAAGCTGCCGGTCACCGAGCACTCCTCCAGGCTGCTGGCGCAGGTACACTTCGCTCGATGTCTCGTTATTTGTCAAATACATTCATTCATTCATTCATTCATTCTGAGAATAACAGTCGAAAGGAATTTTATAACTCTTCTTTATAAAATAAAAATATTTATAGCTTTTATAATTTTGATATTGAGAGAGCCTGAAGGCGATCACATCATTCTCAAATTTTTTTTTGTTAATAAACCAAGTTATTTTTAATTGTTTTTTTTTTTACTTTATTTTCTTTTTAATAAAAAGGTCTTCTTTTTAATAAATAATTATCATAGTGGTATAATATAAATCTTTAAAATTAATTTATTCACTTTTTATTCTTTAAATACCTATTTTTAACAAAAAAATCACATTCTTCTTGCTAATTTTTCATTAAGTATTTATGCTCGTATTATTCAATGTTAAATGTTTCGCGATAACGCAGCTGACGATGCTCGAGCCGGGCGGGCCCGCGCGCCGCCCGCCCGCCGCCGTGCTGGAGGCGCTGCAGGCGCTGAGCTCGCAGCTGCGGCTATCGCGCCTGTTGTGCCGCCAGCCCGCGCTACTGCTGCAGCTGGTGGAGCGCCACGGCACGCGCCGCGCCATGCCCTGGCTGCACCAGCTGCTGCGCCACGACCGGCTCGAGCTCAGGTACACCACCCACCACCCTCACAGCCTCATTGATCTAGAACGTAATTGCTACAAATCCGGAGAACCTGGGTTCGAGGCCCGAGTAGAACCAAGTGTAGTTAATGAGTTTTTGTGTTAATAAAATCTTAGTAGCAGCCCGGAGTTGGTAAGTGGGCGGTGTTTCACCCCCATGCTCTGGAGAGCTAGCGGTCGGTCTTGAGCCTGAATTTACCGTGAATGTCAAATTCTCATCCTATTGAAAGTTGAGAATGAAAGGAATGGTGAGTGTACGCTGTGTTTGCGTGTACGCTTATAGACTATATATGTATGTCCCGTGAAGGTGGCTAGTCTTTATATCTATTATTATCGTTAAATCATGGCATTAGTTTCAATTGTTATTTTGACAAATCATTAATATATGCGTAATTTGTATTATTGTATGTTGTCCCTAATGTGTGAATCCGTCCGTCAGCGTGTTGCCGGTGCAGTGCCTGTGCGAGTTCCTGTCGGCGGGCGGCGCGGGCGGGGCGGGGGCGGGCGGCGCAGAGGCGGGCAAGGCGGGCGAGCTGTGTGCGCACCTGCGGCGCACGCTGCACAGCGAGGAGGGCGCGCGCGCCGTGCTGCACTACTACCTGCAGCGCCTGGCGCACGCGCACGCGCCCACGCGCGCCTCCGCCAATCGGGTAGACATGTTTTGTTCATAATAAAATGTACTATTTCTGATACTAATTCTTAAATTATACATCTGGTTGATTACTTAGAACGGATTTATATTTTATCGATTTTTAACTTATGACATACAATGTAATTTTTTTTATAATTTATTAAAAAAAATACAATAAGAATTAAATTACATGTATGTAAAATTAGTAACCATAAATGCTTCTCATTTCAGGGGTTGAAATTGGTATTATCGCAGTCCGATGACACAACAGAAATGGATTACAATGCTGACGTGAGCCCAGAGTGAGTGTGTTTTGACTACTAAAAATATCAAATCCAAAGTGACCGTATACCGTAGATTGTCTGTTGAGTAGTTGACACTGTGCGTGCGTTGGCGCAGGTCGTGGCTGCCGCTGCTGCCGGCGCTCCGGCACTGGGAGGCGCTGCGCGGCGAGGCGGTGCGGCGCGTGCGCGCGGCCTGCCTGGCGGAGAGCGCGCCGCCGCACGTGGCCGCCTACCTCGCCTTCTTGGCGCGCCACGCGCCGCACGCCGCGCCGCGGGACCTCACCGACATCGTGCTGGTACACACACACACACGCACACGCTCACACGCTGTACACAACTACATTGACCCGTCCGTTTGAATCACGACACGTGGTCGACGAACAAACTGTTTAAGATTTAAGATAACAAATACTTAGATTATTCATTCATCTATCAGATAGATATAATAAAATTCTAACTGAGTCGAATCTGGTCATGATTATCGATACAGAGGCCGAATCTATAGTTCTTAGAAATTTTTTGTGTGTCTGGGAACGCATTACGAGGAAACCACTGGAGAGATTTTAATGAAATTTGGTATGATGTTAGCTGGTTATCCGGGTCAACATATAGGATACTTTTTACTGCAGAAAAATATCTTATCTCTGACTCTCTACAACTGACGTAATAATAATAATTAATGCCAAGTATTGAACTATTTTATTTTTTTGATATGTCTCATCTAAATATAGTTTTATTTTTTTTGATATGTCTCAAAATTATTTTTGCATATTATAAAATATCAATTTTCATTTAATATGCAATTTATATATTTAATGAGTGAAATTTTTTTGTATACAATGTGGGTTACCAATAACCAAGGAGGGTTGACGTCAGGCCCCCCCAACGTGCGTTCACCTTGTCGTGGTGGGGGGGCTCAGTAGTGCCCGGCAATCCAACCGGGCGCGAAGCCAAGAAACGCACAGGGAGGTTGCCCACTTCGGTGGGCGGTGGGAGGTGGCCCTCTTCGGGGGGCGGTGTACCATGCGGGTTGCTCCTGGTACTTCTCTGATAGCAGAGTGGACTGTGGAGCAACCCCATGGTTGTGGTGGTCTGCTTCGGCGGACCTGCCGTCGGGGCGTCGTAGTTGAATGCGTAAGCGATCCTGCGACGCCCCATTAAGACGGGGGAAGGTTTTGTTGGGTTTTAGTGGGTAGTACTGGCTGTATTACGCCGGTGAGTCCCACACGTCGTGCGTAAATGCATTTCCCTTCACTTCAATGCGTTAAAAAAAAAAAAAAAAAAAAGGGTTGACGTCAGGCAGGCGGCCGGTCGTAAAACTTTTGCCAAATCCTTTCAGCAGTACAGAGGATGTACTGCGCCGACCCCAAGTAATTGGGAAATGGGCAGGGAGAAGAAGAAGTGGGTTACCAATAACATAAATGCAAAAGAATCTCTGTTAGTTGTAGTTTATTTTTCTTTCACTGAATTTATTCCTTTACAAACTGACGGCTGAAAAAAAACACCTATGAGTTATTACCACGTAAAAATGAGCTGCAATTCTGTTGGTACCAGGACCTGAGCCAGGTGCTGATGGAGAGGACGACGGTGATGGGCTACGTGCTGCCGCCCGTGGACTGCACCGAGACGCCGCGCGACGAGCGCCTGCTGGCGCAGCACCGCGCGCTGCACGCTCTCACTACCATATTCTATACGCATTTGAGACAGGTACGATTATATAGCTTTTTATACGTTAGTATTAGAGTTAGCTTTTTAATTTAGTCTATTTTTTTGACTGGTGAAGCGAAATCAAATGCTGGATGCGTCTAGTATTTCTGATATTTTAATGTGCGAATATTTTTAACATAATCCACTTATGGCGCCTTACAGTCAAAGAAAACGCGAAACCTGTATGTCTGAGAGAACATAGCAAGTTTTTGAAAGACATATTGTAAAGTTCACCAAGACAGACTTGTCATGTTATACCGACTTGTGTTGATGGGAGGCCCATGGCCAGCAGTGGGGCGTAAAAGTTTTAAGAAAATAGTAATGTCTCTTAAAACCTGATGATTGATGACGATTCACATTCTATTAAATATTATAAGTTTTAATGTAGAGCCATTGTAATACTGAACGCAGGTGCTGTCGAGCGAGGCGGCGGAGGCGGGCGAGGCGGAGGAGGGCGAGGGCTGGAGCGCGGGCGAGCGCGTGGCGCTGGCGTGGGCGGGCGGGCGGCGCGCCGTGCTGCACGTGGTGGTAGCGCACGCACACCTCAAGTTGCTGTGCTTCGGACCTTCCTACTGTCAGTATATCTTACTTACATTATATTAAAACACATTTTTTTTTACATTAACACACAGCTCCATCAAGTTTCATGGTAAGCAACGAGGCTTGTGTTATGGATACCAGATAGTTGATACACTACACATATATAACTTTAAATACATACATATTATAAATATAAGCACCCGTGACTGTAGTACAAACAGTCGTGATCATCACACAAATGAATGCCTCCAGCGGGACACAAACCCGCGACGGCTGGTACAGCAAGTAGGGTAACTACAAACTGAGCCAAACGTGTCGTCAAAATTAAAATAAAAGTGCTACGTTTTCTATACATAATAAGATTCTACCATGGCAGTCGACACAAACCAAGAGATGTACTCGTGGCTGCTGTCCACGTGGGTGGCGGACGCGCCCGAGGCGACGGTGGCGGGCGCGGGGGCGGCGGCCGCGGGGGAGGAGGGCGAGGGCGTGCTGCTGCCCGACTGGCTGCGCCTGAGCCTGGTGCGCTCGGCGCGCCCCGCGCTGCTTGAGGCCGGCCTGCGGGGCCTGCCCGCGAACAAGCTCGCGCTCTTCATACAGACGTTCGGCATGCCCGTGTCCTCTATGAGGTGATATAGGTTTATTGTTGTGTCCCTATGAGGATCTATGAGTTATGTATAATGAGATATGTTGCAGTAAATAATTGAGATTAAAATAAAAATACTTTTCCTTGTAGGTACATTATATGTCAATATAACCTGCGACTTAAACAATTAATTTGTTGGTTAAAGTTTTATTAATTTAGAGATTAAATGTTTCTAATGATTACAACGCCACAAGGAACAATATCTATTAGATGTTGGACCTTCGAGCCGTGTATGTAAAGCGTGAGCGTCCCCCTCGCAGCGCGCTGCTGGCGGCGCTGGACGCGTGCCCGGCGGGCGCGGTGGTGCGGCTGGGCGTGGAGCGCGCGTACATGGCGCAGCTTCTGCGCGTGCAACGCGCGCGCGGCGCCGGCGGCGGACACGCCTTCGCCGCCGCGCTGCGCCTCGCGCGCCCCGTCTACCCGCCCGGTCAGTGCGACCACTCACATTGTGACAATAGCCAAAATGTATTATACTAGTCACTCACCTTAACTTTGCTCGGTGAAAAGCAAAAACAAATTATCCCACGGGAAACGTACATTTTTCTGGGTAACCTATCTCTGTGCCAAATTTCATCCAGATCCGTTCAGCCATTCTAGTGTGATTGTTGAGTAATAAACATCCATCCATTCAAACTTTAGCATTTATATTTATTTATATAATATTAATAATGGGATAATGGGAACTCACTGAAATATAACTATTATAGGCATAAGTGCAGGTTGAATTCACGACTGTAGATGCATATTAGAGTTATAATTCCGTTTACTTAATCGATTAAATACACATTTCAAAAAATAAATAATCAATATATTACTTAGCACAATAAATTAATTTATAACCGTAACCTTTAAACATACTTAAAAGAACTCACTTATAGATTATATTATGGTGTTATGGACTTATGGATACTTAAATATATACTTTTATTTAAAATTGAATTCAATTGTTTTAAATAAATAGCTACCTTAATATAATTATAAAACCAATTTCTTTAAACTAATCAGATGACACGCTATTCGCTGAAGAGACGCTCCCCGACGAAGAGGAAGACCCGTGGAGCTGCGCCCGCCAGCTCAACAAGCTGGACGTGGGCGCGGTGGGCGCGCTGCTCGCCACTGCGTTTGCGGACGCCGGCACCTTCCATGGGGATCTAGACACTACTTTTACTCAACTTCAAGGGGTAAGTAAGAAGCAAAAACAAAGAAGCTTGTTATATTTATTACTTACTCTTACTACTTTAATTAGTGTTTTCAATGAAATAAATTTTATCTTGATAAAAGTTAATTTTGTAAAAGATAATTTTGATTATTAGTACTTAATTTATATTATTGTTTGTTTGCGCGTATATCACTTTTTTTTATTAGAGGTACGAGGTACGTCGTATGCGTTCCTCGTTCTATATCTACGTCGACGAGAGTTAAGTAATCTGACTCGAAGGACCAAAAAACTATGTTGTGTAACAATTTATAGAATTTAAGATTGAAATATTAATTACGAAACAAAATCCAACGAGTGATAGTTCTGATTTATTAATCAAAGACACGCTGATGAAAATAATTTAAAGAAAATAATTTAAATTCACGCGAATGGACTTTAAGGGAGAAATTAATAAATATATACCTTGTAGTTTATAGTAGAGGAAGCGAACCAGCCTGGATGCGGCGCGTACACGAGCGCGGTGCTGGAGCACCTGCGCGGCGCCGGCGCGGGGGGGCTGCTGCGCCGCCCCGCGCTGGCCGCGCCACTGCTGCGCACGCTACTGCACGCCGCGCCCGACGGCTTGCCTGAGGTATGAGGGAATGTTCTAGCGATGAGTGTTTCGAGAAGTTACTCTTATAGGGTAACAAGGGATAAAAAAATAATAATTTATATAATTATTACGTGTGTGCTTGCGTGAGTGCGTTTGTGCTATTACTCCTTCACGCTGAAACGATTGGACGGATTTAGAAGATATGATGAGAATTCGAATATGGACTAGCAACTAGTAAAGTGAATCACTAGATGTCTATATGTATATGTTAGCTATGTACCGATCAAAACACTAAACTTCCACCATCCTTATCATAAGCTATATTTATAAATTAGATTAAACAACATAAATGTAAATATATGAATGTAACGTGCAGATAGCCAGTCGGCTGGTGTCGCAGTGCAAGTGCGCGCGCGGGCCGGCGGCGGAGGCGCTGCGCGCGGCGGCGGGCGCGGGCGCGGCGCGCGCGGCCCCCGCGCTGCCACCCGGCGCCGACAAGGACCAGCTCGTCACCGGTATAGCACTTACATATTATACCTAATAACGTTCTTTTAATTTGAAATATAAATGAATACCAAATTTAAGTTGAAAGATTGTGGAATTTTCCACAGCCAAATACAATAAATTGGAACCCTTATAATATCACCGTGACTGTCTGTCGGCATGTCTCGCACTTGTTCCATTTTTTTAATCTATTATCATGGAGTCTCAACACGAACAAATAAAAATTAGTTCAAATGAATGTCAATAGGTGACGTTACATGTATCGATATGTTGTTGAAGTTGTGTTAAATTAACAAAATAAAAAAATATGTATCCCAAAAAGGTATATTATAGTTTTAAAAATATTCAAATTAAAGGAAAATGAAATAATTTAATTTTTATTTAATCGTTTATTTCAGGCAATATTTACAAAAAGATCTTAAATATGTAAACAGAGGCCCATAACATATATACCTTAAAAACTAACATATATATATTAATTTTAAAACTTAAAAAACTATTTAACACATAACGTGTGAGCTGCGTGTGAGTGTAATAATGTGCCCTTAAATCAAATTAGCGTAATTTTACAGTATTGTATTTTCACAAATGGCGCTTTTACTTTTTATGAGCTATTACTTGTTTATTAAGGTAAAAAATATTGAAATCACAGAAATTTATTAAATTAAATGCAGGATGAATTTTAAAATATTTACGATACGTTAGTTTGCATATATTTATCAAATAAAACAGTATAACTATTGGCGCATCAACGACATCTATTATCTATTCAAGCAAACAAAATTATATTAAATTAGCGCTGTCCAATTTTTTGTATGGGATGAGGCATCTGTAATAGTAATTATGTGGTCTGTGCTGTTATTATCTGTTTATATTAATGCAATTAATATTATTGTTAAATAAACGATATTATTTGTATAATGATATTTTTTTTATACAAAATTAAATTTATTTCTAAATAAAGGCATTATAAAAATCTATTGTCCAAAGTAAAATTTTAAATGTCAATATCACAGCTCTAGAGTCGGCAACGCCAAGTACGCTGGAGGCAATCGGTAACAAGATAATAGAGACTCAAGACACGCAGGTGGTGGTGGACACCATCACGCACCTGCTGGAGAAGAACCAGCAGGGCTGCTACGAGATTCCGGTATGCTACGGTTATCTATCGGCTATCATTTCAATTATATATTTAATATATTTTGTATTCGGTACTAGACTTAAGTAAATTTAAAATTAATAATTTAATATTGTCTATGTTATTCGATTGTTTGTTTCCTTACTTTTCATGCAACATATATTTGAATATACCTTTATGCTTTAATGTTTACATATTTACACATAATGCTTATGTTGATATTTTTGACCAACTTTAAAAGAAAACACGCCATATGTCAAGAAAAGTGTTATATAAATTAAAATAAAATGTCCGATATAGGTGAAATGTGAAGCCGATGAGAAAACGCTGTCGTGCGCGGCGCACGTGCTGTCGGCGCGCGGGCTGGGCGCCGGCCTGCTGCTGGACTGGCTGTCCGAGCTGCAGCGCGAGACGCTGGGCCGCCAGGTGCGGTTCCATTATATTATTATATTACATCACGTGATAAGTTTTAAATAGGCTAAAGTCGGTGTAAGGCTATTAATACTTTTATTTAAAAATTGATTTCTTTTGATTTTTTTGATCTTTTATTTCACATATGATTGAAATCAAATAAAATATACTTTATTCAAATAGACTTTTACAAGTCATGAAAAAAAATCTGTTTTTTTTTATTTCTTAATTTGAAAAGATTTAAAGACGCCAGTGTGTGTCGAAGTGGTGTGTGTATAATACGGTGTGTGTGTGCTTGCGCAGATGCGGCTGATGTTCCAGCGCGGCGGCGGCGCGTGGCGGCCGCTGTTGGTGACGCTGCTGGCGCACCGCGCGTCGTGGCGCACGCTGCACCAGGCGCTCGACCGCCTCACCGCGCAGGGGTATCCTACTATACTATATCTACAAAACATTCACATTTTTATATTTTAAATAAATGTAACAGGCATATATGTTTTATACATACCGATTTTTTTGCGAGAATTTTGATTTATTATTATTTAATGATAACGAAAATTGCATCGAAATCCATTGTACAGCTTAGAAGCAGCTAAGCAAACGCAGATATAGATATAAATATTTTCTCAGTTTGTTAATTTATTTTATATGTACGTACATACATATATAAAATAATATTCTATATAATGTTAATAATATAATTACTGTTTTTAGCTTGCTTGCTTTTTTACTCATATAATTTTATTAACATTTTCAACAATTAAGTTCATTACAATAAATTATTTTTGGTTTTACGCTATCTGTGTACTAAACTATATTTTCTTGTACAATAGTAGTGTTCGGTTGTATTGTATGTGTGTATGTGTGTATATGGGTGCAGGGGCTGGTCGGCGCGCGCGGTGCTGGACTTCGCGGAGACGCTGGTGGGGTCGCCGCGCGTGGCGCAGGGCCGCGACCGCGCCGCGCCCAAGCACCACGCGCCGCGAGACTCTCTGCGCCTCACGCACAACCAGGTGCTCCGCCTAGACTTTGTACTTTATATTTACTAGATAGGGTCAATATTTATCTATCGTTTTTTGAATTTATGTGCTAAAAATTAAATGCTAAATAAGAGCATAAGTTGAGAAATACTGAAGCGATTTATGAATGAATAATATAAATAATGAAGAAGTTACTGAAAACTTAAGAAATTCCGGATAAACTATATATTTATTATATCCCAAAATTAAAAGAAAAAATGTCTTCAGTCGTCGACAAACAATGAAGAAGTTACTGAAAACTTAAGAAATTCCGGATAAACTATATATTTATTATATCCCAAAATTAAAAGAAAAAATGTCTTCAGTCGTCGACTTTTCTACATCGTACTTTTTGTCGTGTAAACATATTTCATATTTATATAATATGTGCGTGCGTGCAGCTGGGCGTGCTGGTGCGGTATGTGGGCGAGGAGGCCCGCGAGGCGGAGGAGCGCGAGGGGCTGGAGGGCGCGCGGCGCCGCGTGGAGGCGCGCCTGCCGCTGCTGCTGCGCTGCGCAGCCGCGCCGCACGCGCTGCTGGCCGCCGCGCTCGCCGCCGCCGACGCGCACCCGCTGCTGCTGCTACTGCTCTACATGAAGGTATGTGCTCACTCGTACGTGTGTGCCTATGTGCAACATTTTATAGGCGCGCAATGGATGCGTGTGTAATGTACGCTCATCGTCTACATGAAATACGTTCGTATAAAAATAAAAGTGGGATATGTTGTTGTGCTTTAAAGGTTTTTGATGGGATCATTAGTTCATTATGCTATGCAATTAATGCTATAAAGTTTCCATTTAATATGTCTGTGCAGGTGCCGAAGGTGCTGCAGCTGCTGCGCGAGTGCGAGGCGCTGCCGGGCGCGGGCGCGCGGCGGCTGGCGCGCGCGGACGCGGCGCGGCGCTCCACCAGCGCCACGGACCGCGTGGCGCACGCGCTGCTCACTGCGCTCGCCGCGCCTCACCACCACTCCAAGGAGCACGCGCAGAGGTGCGCGCGACAACTGGCATTACTCGACTTCTAAAATAATATATTATTGTTTTAAGGCTTTCATTTGCCTAATGGTAGAAACGGGACCCTTATAATTTCGTCGTGTTTGTTTGTAATATTACAGTAATTTTTCTCAGAAAATGAAACTTCGTACATAACTGAAACTTGATAAATAGATCTTAAGTAAACCGTTGTTTTTAATCAAATAACGAAGAAAAAAAATGTAAAAAAAATGTGGTCGACTTGAATTTGTGGATATGTGTTTTTAAAGTTATAAACATGATGTGTGTGGCAGGATGTCGCGCACGGAGGCGGGCGCGCGCGCCGTGTTCGCGCGCTGCCTGGGCGCGGGTGCGCGCGCGCTGCCGCTGGCAGGCGCGCTGCTGCGCGGCGTGCGCGCGCGCCACCACCACGCGCTGCACCACCTGCTCGCCGCCATCGAGATGCTCTCCGACGATGACCTCTTCGCCGACCACGCCACGTACGGCTACTATTACATATACACACTCACTAGTATATAGGAAAATATATAAACAACATTTTACTTTGATAATAAAATAAGAATTTTATATAATATTTTGATTTTGGTTATTTATTTTATAGAAAATAACAAAACTACTTTACATTTTAAATTCGTAAAATACTAATTTAACTTTTAAATTTAACTATAGAAAGCACACACATATGAGTCTATAACAGAAATTGAACCTTTAACATAGGAATGTATATTTTGACCACAAGCAGACTCGTACTAACATTATTATTACCACAAACAAAACATTTTTTATTTTGTAAACACCACCTATCTCAATTAATACCATTTAATCGTCATTATACTATAACATTATTGACAGTGAGGAGATCCACGGCATCCTGGAGTGTTTCCTGAACATAGTGAAGCAGGGCGGCGGCGGCGGCGGCGCGGGCCCGCTGGCGCACCGCGTGGCCGCGCTGCTGCGCCGCTACCGCGCCGCGCGCCCGCACCGCGCCGCCGCGCTGCTGCACGCGCACCGCGACACCATCGCGTCAGTACCTTGTCCAGTGTCCATCTCACCCTATAGATTACTCAGAGATGACGTGATTTTCTCGCGGTAAAAAGTATCCTATATGTTGACCCGGATAACCAGCTATCATCATACCAAGTTTCATCAAAATCTGTCCCGTTTTTTTCTCGTGATGCGTTCCCAGACAGATAGACAAAATTTCGAAAAACTTTAGATTTGGCCTCTGTATCGATAATAATGACTATTACAATAAGATTTTCCAAAAAATATTTAATTTACAAATTCGACTCAGTATTTATTATATGTATAGATTACGTTATAATGTAAGATTACAGATATTGAGGTTTTAGGTTCAAATCCCGGGTCGGGCCAAGTATAGTTATTGGGTTTTTCTATCAAGAAATTATCCAATATCAGCCTGAAGTTGCTAAGTTACACCCTCGGTCGCTCATGAGTGATCTCTCACCACGAGTGTCGGATTTGCATCCCACTGAAGTTTGACAGTGAGGGGAATTGAGAGCCCGTTGTATTTATGCGTATAATTGTGTCAATAATATCCCTAGCGCACATGGCTAATCTCTTTGAGTTGGCTGCCGTGATTACAATCGGTCATAAGGACATTATCATTAATTCGAAATACCGAAATACATTGCAATATAACAAATACTATAATTTCATATAAGAATTTTCATTTAAGAATCCATTCGACGTATTTATATTTTCGCAGGTCCCACGCAGCGTTGGCGAGCGCGGCCGGGGGCGAAGCGCCGCCCGCGTCGTCGTCGCCGCCGCCGCACGCACTGCTGGCGCTGCAGCGCCGCATCGCGCCGCCCGACGAGCTGCACTGGCTAATACAGGTAGAGTTGGGAGTTTTTAATATTGGTTAAATCGCTGAAAACTTAGTTTCCTTTAATCAAGTGATACTATCACTACAAGTATACGAGTACATAGATTACCATAATTATTTATTTATAGTTTAAAAAAAGTTTTTCAACTGCGATGATGATGATTGAAAAAATATTCGGAAGTTTCACCGTATCTAAAATCCCTTGATTTTTTTAATAAGTTTATTCATGACATTTAAGTTTATAAATTAAGGCGCCGCATTAATCAGCCGTTTTGAACACAGGAGATAGAAGCGTGGGGCGTGCGGCGCGGCGGCGCGTGGGGCGGGCCCGCCAGCGCGGACGCGCTGCTGCGCGCCGCCGCGCCGCTGGCCGCCGCGCCGCACCCGCAGCTGCGCGCCGCCACGCTCTCGCTGCTCGCCAAGCTGCTGCCCGCCGCGCCCGACACGCACCCCGGTACGTACACGCCCCACACGCCCCGCCCTAACAACGAAACCCTGACCTGTAAACGACTTAACGCAAACAATATTAATGATATCATTGATTTGTTTTTGTTCTCCATCCATACCAGGGTTTGGAAACCGGTTTAATTTTTAAATATGTTTTGATCATTGATCCCAAACCGAAAGGCTTTTCGATTTCAGAATTCGGTTTCGTTCTTTAACCAGTTAAATCCGAGAAAACTGTTCTTGACGAATTTAAGTTCCATGAACAAAATTAACCGGTTAAAATGTGTTTTTGTGTTTAAATTTGGCGCGTCTTTCCTAAGGGCGAATGGCTTAGTAGAAGGATGCATGCACGGTTCTTACTTATGAATGAATTCATCGGTTTATTTCCAGTATCAAAACTGAAATCCAACCTCTCTGTTAGAACCTAACCATTATTATTACTGTTTACTTAATTGTTCGTTTTCATGAACCGGTTAAAGAACGAGCGATGAAACCATTGCATTACCGAAATAAACAGTTTTTTTAACCGCTCGGAACCTGATCCATACACATCTACCAGTATCATTGTGTACCCCTACTTTGAAACAAAATTATAGCACTAAAATTTCTCCATCTACAAGATCTAAAAACTACAGTTTGGATCCTTGAGATATATCTTTACAGCAACAGCAGCTAATTATATTGTAATTCCATCCTATACTTTACAAATATGAAAATAAGATACAATAATACACCACTTAAAATTCCATAAAGCGTTATTATAAGAAAGTATTATTCCATAAAGCGGCTAAATTTCTTATAACTTTGTTTTAGGTCTTCAAGCCATCCTCGAATGCCTAGACTCAAGTCAACCAGAAATCGCACAATCAGCCATTGACAAGCTCCCTGAACTTATAGTAGGAATACAGGAACACGCTGCGAGAATTCTAACGCGGGTGTTCGACCTCGGGCTGCGCTCCCGACAGCCCGTGGAGCAGTGCATTGCCAAGTGCGTCTCGACCATCAACTTGAATAGGGGCTGCTAATTGAAAGATTAATTGAAAAGTAGATAGATAGACAGATTTTTTTTATTGCACACTATATTAAAACAAAACAGACACAACAAAAAATAATACACAAAGGAAAGATGTACAGAAGGCGGCCTTATCGCTAAAAGGGATCTTCCAGGCAACCTTGAGGTGGAGTAGTAAATGTGTAAAATAAATAAGAAAAGCCATTCTTGACCAAATATTTGGTATCGAAATTATTGTATTGAATGTAATATAAAGGAATTTTTTGATTATAGTTAGCTATGATATTATTTTTGTATTATCTATGTATAAGCATTTCTTATTGTAAACTGTTTGTAGTGTCAATTTGCATACTCCAAAGGGTTCAATGTGTATGATTTATATACTGAATGTATTTTCATGTACCTTCTTAAGAACTTTTGTATATATACTATCATTGTAGATTGATATTATTAAATATAGTACAACAAGAACTTCTTTCATTTCATTTTCTTCTATGTTCTTTGTTAATATGAGCAAGTTTAAAAATGTTTAAATTGGTTTTTCATTCTCTTTTACATCTTCACGAGATATATGTAGTGTGAATATCAATGTTTATAAGTAATATATTAGAAAAAATCCAAGTTAAAGGTTTTTTAGCTATCTTTGTGTCAAATATTAAAACCTATTAAATAAATATTAAAAATATGAAAATAAAGCATAAAATATCATTAGTATTATTTTAATATAAATAATTTAATAGAATATGGTGTATAAGTACTAAAGTATTATGAGTAAGAAAATAATAGTTTTGCAATAATAGCATTTGACTTTAAGAAGTAAATAAATATTGATTTCATTAAATCATGAACCCGCACTCCAGAAGCTCACTCATACAGAGTTCTCAAACACATTTTATATACTATTTCTGACTTTGTGCTTCATCACCAGTCACTATTTCCAAGATCAGTAAACAACTTGTCCTTTATTCTTGGCTTGGGATCTTCGGTTATCTTGGTGTCCACTGCGCCTACTTCACCTAAGATGTATTCAAGTTCTGAAACAAGTAATAAATTTTTAATAAAATTTTACATTGAAAATAAGTTCATATATTTATTTATATTATCCACCTATCACTGATGTAGGCTCCCCTAATTTCCCCCCCAACGTGCGTTTACCTTGTCGTGGTGGGGGAGCTCAGTAGTGCCCGGCAATACAGCCGGGCGCGGAGCCAAGAAACGCACAGGGAGGTGGCCCGCTTCGGTGGGCGGTGGGAGGCAGCCCTCTTCGGAGGGCGGTGTACCATGCGGGTTGCTCCTGGTACTTCTCCAATAGCAGAGTAGACTGTTGGAGCAACCTCATGGTTGTTGTGGTCTGCTTCGGCAGACCTGCCGTCGGGGCGTCGTAGTTGAATGCGTAAGCGATCCTGCGACGCCCCATTAAGACGGGGGAAGGTTATGTTGGGTTTTAGTGGGTAGTACTGGCTTCGCCGGTGAGTCCCACACTTCGTGCGTAAATGCATTTCCCAACGTTAAAAGGCTCCCCTAATTAAAAAAATTAAATGTGGCACTCGGAGACTGCCGCGGTAAAGCTATTGCATAGCATTTTTTATCAACTTATGCAATTATAATTATTTATTTATTTTATTAATGCAGTATTTTTTTTCCTTGACTTCCTTCATTAATAAATGCACTTTGTTTATTCATATTTAAAACACTTTGTACACAAATTATACGAGTACAGATATTCACTGATGTACATAGATGATAAATACCTATACACCTATATACTTTCTCACAAACAGCTGATTACGGTAGTTTTCCAATACAACCAATGCCACCTAAAGACGGGTTGCTGAACTAAAGAGACAAGCGTGATATTTCAAAAAGTAATTAAAAGTTCTGGTATTTATCGATAGATGGAAGTATCACCTCTGTGCCGGTCGGAGTGGGGGGTGTCAGGTTTTTTCGTTACGGAATTTCTGGATTCGGTCCCCACGCTCAAGGCCCGCAATAGAAGCTATGCAATAGCTTATTAAAGTCCTCACAAAAATGATGAATTTATAGATGTAAAGTAAATTAGGTATTTAAAAATCTTACCATCACATGTGAGAGCTGTCCCCCTTAATTCATGGGGACCTACAAATTGTTTCTTCATATCTCCCTCAAAATACACAAATAAGCTTGGTAAATTTTTTTCAGGGAAGTTAGGTATGCAGGTCTGTGCAATGGCCTTTAAGAATTTAGTGTATGGAAATTTTGCTGCCAATTGACGCATATGTTGATTGATCAGAGCACATTGAGTGATACTAAAAATGAGATTTTATTATTTAATTGTAAATTGAGATAACTTTTAATTATGAAATGAATTAAGAAAAAATACCCTATTATAAAAGTACATACCCCTGTTTATAAAGATGCAGGACCACCCATATTCCTTCACCAGCTTTATTAACTTCCTGGATATAATCCTGTCCAGATATTTCTCTTATATCTCCAAATTTTGGCTTTTCAGATAACCTTTTCAGTTCTGCTATTCTCTTCCTTCTATATTCTTCCAAAACTGCTTCATCTTCAGAATCTTCCAATTCATCCAGACCATCCAAATCCAATTCTGACAGTTTTTGATCCTCTAAAATATAGATACGTGTTAGAATATTAATTAATAACGGTACATAAATAAACGAAAGTAAAGTTGCAACAGGTGTTCATAACCAAACTTAAGCATACTTTGAGCTTGTTTTTGTTGTATTGTTTGTTCGATCATATTAACAATTTCTTCTTCTGATACCTCTTTCTCTTTAGAAGGCAAAATTCCCTTCGATCGCAAGACATCATTCCATTCGGTATCTTCATTTGGATTCTGTAAGATGAAATTAATTAAAATAGATCTCAGTTGAAACAAACTTAAAGAACACTTTTTTATGTATTAAAATATTTTACTTTTTAATACCTGCATTTTTATAAAAAAAAAAATATTTTTTTAAATTAACTTCTCTTTTTTTATATATTTAGGTGGAAATTTGACACCTTAATCAATTTTCGCAATCTGAAAAATGAAAATGATTCATTGCACAGATTATTAATATTATTCACACTGTGGAAGATTTCTCGAAAGAAGGGTGCTACACGTATGACCAGTTTATAACTATACTCTTTGCGTATGACATACCATACATATATATGACATATCATATATATATTTACAATCAGTCTGAGATTAAATCATTTATTCTGATATATCTCTTTTATATTTGGTTTTTGCTTCTATTGTGTTCGGATCTTACCAATGCAATATATTGTACCTGGAAGTTAGACTAGCTGAAGGAATAATTCAGAAGGTAAGGTGTATCCTGCGGTAGTCCTGATTGACTGACGAATCAACACACAGCCTAAGCCGCTGGTCGTAGAAGCATGAAATTTGGAGGACGTATTTCTTATAGGTACGTCTTAAAAATCATTTTAAAAAGATTTTTTCGAAATTTATCTCTTAAGGGGGTAAAATAGGGGATTAAAGTTTGTTTGAAACTCTGTTATTCGTAATGTAAAATACACAGACAGGTGTTTAACTTTAAAATAAATAATAAGAAATAAATTTATTTCATTTTTTCGAAATTCATCCCTTAAGGGGGTAAAATGGGGGATAAAAGTTTGTATGTAACTCCGTAATTAATATATAAAAACCACAATATTTAAAACTCTTAAATCATTCTAATGTTTTTTTATTATTTATAAAAAAGTATAAAATGATTTAAGAGTTTCAAAATCACTTTTTTCAAAATAATGTCCACATAGCCTTAAATATAAAGATTGTGATTTCACCAAGTTTGATCGTCTTATTTCTTTAGCCCACTAATTCTTCAGTTTTTGACTTTTGGGAACAAATGATATCCATTTTCTTTACATCTTGGCATTTCAAGATTTGTCATTTTAATTAAATTTTAAATAATATAAAAAAAAACCATCCACGCTGTATAGCTTTACAATATACTTAGGGGGGCCTTAGTGATCGCGGCAACTGTCGGGAGAAAAAGGCAAAATTCTTCTTCATTACTAATCTTATACTAAACGTAAAGAATATTATTATATTATTCATATTATCGCCTTATTTTTAATCTTCTTTAATAAATGAGTTTAAAGGAAAATGAAATATATAATCAACCTAATTCACTGATTTAGATTTTTCAAATCGGTTATTTTGACAGTGACACGTTTTGTACGTTATGTTGTCACCTTGAGTCGTGTTGGAAAAATTGCATGTCGCTATGTTCAGTCAAGTCAGATCTCGAAATAAATAAATTGGTCATGGCTGATGTCGAGGAACATAAACATCAGGAAACTAATTTCCATGAGGGAGAAGGTAATAATTGTTAAAATATTATTGTTAAGATCTCGTGCGTTGTTAGTGCGTGGCGCGAACGACGGTTGCGTCGCTCGTCAGTTACCCTCGTGTAACTTGTGACATTGAAAATGGGTTCTTTTTATAATTGCTGCCTGGATTATGGTGCTGGCCCTCGAAGAACAGAGTGCGCCTACCGCCTCACGCTTTGAGTGATATATTGGTGGCACAGGAGTGAAAATGACAGGGGGATCGGACAGGACTCTCGTCTCAGGTAACTTTGTTTTTGTTCTAATATTCAGACGATGTATGTACATGATAAAAGTTTTTTTTACCGCGCAGAACATAAGAAAAGTCGAGGAGTATATAATGTTATTATTTAATAAGGGATAAATTATTTCATATTCATAGGTCTTAGGCCTTTTTTTTAAACTCGAATGTTGTATTTTAAAGACTCTTTGTGGTATGTATATTTAAAAGATTAGTAATTTATTAAACAAAGTCTTTGTTTACTTCGATTATGTATATTTTTACTAAGTTAATAGATTATTTCCTACAATGTAGATATATGAGAATTGTGTAATAATTTTAAAGGCGTTTTTTAATTTTTTAATTATTAATTAAAAAACCATATATACTAAATAGTAAAATGTTTACAGTCTAGACAGCAGCGCCACCTACCGTGTACAATTGTGAATCTAAACCATTCCCAGATCCCCTTGAACACACACAAAAAATTTCATCAAAATCGGTCCAGTCGTTTAGGAGGAGTTCAGTCACATACACACGCACACAAGAAATATATATATTAAGATAACTTTCATATTTAAAATTATTTAGTAAATTATGTCATACATATTGTAAGTTCTATGCCAAATAAATATATATCAATATGTAAACAATGAAAATTTAAAAAGTTATCATATCTTGCTCATGTTATATCATTTCTATATTGACAATATATAATTAATTATTTATGCGAAAAATCTGAATAAGCATGTCACTGTACAAAGGCTGATATTTATGTTTCTTTTGTTATATAAACAAGCAGTGCATAATTCTTTTTGATAGTTTGCAAAGATAATATTTTAATTTTAAACTTATCTATCTCTTTCTTTGAAAAATCTACAAATAATACTTTTGTACATAATCCATATTAATATTAAAAAAAAGCAGAGTTTGTTTGAATGCAACTATTTATCCGATTGGAAAAAATCTTTTTGTATTAGATATTTGATTAGGGAATAATTTATTGAGGAAGGCTATATATGATATAGTATAAAGTCTATCTATTCCATACTAACTGTTAAAATGTACCTAGACATGAACACCAGAGAAGCGAGGGTGAGTCGATAGTATGTTCTGTTCTTGTGGTATTGATGTCATTCCCCTCGCTGCTCTGACAAGGTTTACACACATTAGTACCTAGCTGTCTGCTGTGCTAGTATCGAGTAACAACAATGAACATGTTAAGGAATTGTTGCATCGAATGTGGGCTTAGTGTGCCTAAACCTAATGGCCATATTTATTCTTAGTTCGTGCATTTTACGACATAAGAAAGTTGCTTTAACTCAAATGAAGTAATGATTTAAAGTGGCATGCCAATAGATGCATTAAATATTTTTGAGGAAAATGATTGCGTTAAATTTTTGTTAATATGTTACGTATTTCCGATCATTATTTGTTTTTTGCGTAATGTATTTTCTGCTATTGTAATTATAATCCTGTCAAATCAGTGAAATAGAAGGGCTTCTTACAAACACAATAAGAACATACTATAGTACAGACAGGCTCAGGCGTGCAAAGAATCCAATTGAAGGCGGTTGAACTTCGATCTTCAAATATGCGTTGGCCGTTAAGTAGCATTACACACGTTAAAATAAAACTCGTGCTCGGTGACCTTAAAGCCCAGTTGATATTTAAAGCGAACCAGTTACTGTGTTATCAGATAGTAATATTTATGTGGCACAATATAAAAGAAGATTTATATTATGTGAAAAGCATAAATATCAATTTAAATAACTTTTTTTCAAATTATCGTTTTCTAAACTGTCTTCGACTATCGAAACCTTTATCCACATCGCCTACATCATTTGTCTTTAAACGTAAGTTTTCAAAACGATTTTTTTAAGGATTGGAATAGCAAAATATCAACTAAAATGCTGAATGATAATAGCTAGATGTTTTTCCGATTAGTGAATATAAATTAATAAAATAGACATCTATGGGATAGTCTCATCTACTCAGCTTGTGGCAAGAAGGTTTAGTAAGAAACATCCTGACACACCGAGTTTCAACATTTATTGGGACTTTTAGGTTGCATGCAATTTTAAATATAAACCCTTTCTGTATTTTGATAATTATAATTGGCTTTTGTCACCGTTCACACTGCTGCTCTTATTGAGCCTTCTGGAATAGTCAAGCCATCATGTCAAGGCTGATGGTCTGTCGCTTGTTCCTTGGAAAAGGGGACGGGCTCTATTGTGAGATGCTACATGTGTTGACACATTGACCTCATCCTCGTCTCCCTTACTCAAAATTATGTTTTTATATACAATTTGCTGTAGAAACCATTGGCCTATTTAGTCAAAGTGCTCTAGCACTTCTTAAAAGACTTATCACATCGTCTTATCACCTCTACTGGTGACAGGAGAGCTGGATCATTTTTCGCCCAAAGCATCGACATTGCCATTCAGCGGGGGAATGCCAGTATTCCACGCGAACATGACTTGTACAGTACATAACTAAGTAAATAATAAATAAATATGTGGAGACATTAACACACAGCGCCATCTAGTTCCATGGTAAGCTACGAGGCCTGTGTTATGGATACCAGATAGTTGATACACTACACATATATAACTTTTAATACATACATATTATAAATATAAACACCCATGACTGGAGTGCAAACATTCATGCTCATCACACAAATGAATGCCCCCAGCGGGACTCGAACTCGCGACCGCTGGCACAGCAAGTAGGATCACTACAAACTGAGCCAAACGTGTCATCAAACTAAGTGTACATTTGTTTTTAACCGACTTCAAGAAAAGGAGGAGGTTCTCAATTCGTCGGGGACTTTTTTTTTATGTATGTTCCCCGATTACTCGACGTTGGCTGGACCGATTCGTAAAATTCTTTTTTTGTTTGAAAGGGTATAGTTTCTAGTTGGTCCCATAGTCACCAAGTCACGATCTGATGATGGGATCCCAGGGAAATCGAAGGCAACTCTCAAATTTTATAGGCACTTATTACGTTTTTCATATATTTCCTAAAGCTGTTCAAGTATTTGCGTCTGATAATCATCATCTCCTGTGGTTGAGCTAATGATGGAAGGTACAACTCCTCAACGGTTAGGAGTTAAAAGAAAATTCTTTCAATATTATACGTAATTATAGACCGATAGTTAAATTCTTTCAGGCTCTTATTAACCGACTTCAAAATGGAGGAGGTTCTCAATTCGACTGTTTTTTTTTCTTTTTATGTTTGTTACCTCAGAACTCCGTCATTTATTAACCGATTTGGATAATTTTTGATTTGTTTGAAAGTGTATACTTCCAGATTGGTCCCATTTAAATTAAATGGAAAAATAGCCAATGATGGATTTAACCTACTTCTAATTGTTATATTGACTTGAAACGTTGCAAGTGTTTCTATTTCCGTTGATAATACAGTGTTTCGGTATTGTTGACCTGATCTGATGGTAAGGCCAGAAGGTGGATAGGTGGAACTCTTCAACGGCTAATAGTAGATACTTTGAGTTTGGGCTTATTTTGTTTGATTTGACAAGCCTAACACCTTAGAATTCTTACTTTGCTACTACTGTCTACACTAAAAAGGGAAAAATAAAAACTCTTTAACAAAAAAATAAAAACCGACTTCAAACAAAAGCACTAAAAAGTAAAAAATAACTGATTGGTAGTTTTTATTTACTATACATACCTAATCAAATATTTTCGAAGTCGGTGTGCTTTGGCTAAGTAATTAAAGCCTACCTATTAAATACATACCTAATCAAATATTTTTGAAATCGGTGCCAGCCATACAAAGCAAAGCACACCGACTTCGAAAATATTTGATTAGGTATGTATAGTAAATAAAAACTACCAATCAGTTATTTTTTACTTTTTAGTGCTTTTGTTTGAAGTCGGTTTTTATTTTTTTGTAATATACAATTAAGTATATTTATATTTTTTTATTTCTCCATTATTATTATTTATAATAAAAGTTCAATTTATTCACATTAACAGTAATACAATTTTAACTATTTTTGAAACCAGTCTGAAAATAGTTTACGTTATGTATTGCAAAACCACGCATCCGAAAGTTAGAGGACGTGAAAGTGCAAGGAAAATGTATATATGTACGTATTATATAATGGATACATAATATAGAAATTTAAGGTGAAATTATGTAAATAGTTTGTTGATTCTTTCCGAGTAATCTAGATGTTGTATCCAGCATGTGTTAGTTAAAATTAACGGTATGGTTAAAACAATCGATCAAGTGCGAGTCGGATTCGCTACAACCATTAAGTTGTTAATCGGGAACTAGATGAACAAGAACAAAAACAACTTTTTTATTTTAGAGTTAGCTCTATAATTAATTCTAATAAAACTTAACGAACGCGTTTCCTGCAGGAAGATCTATTTTATTGTTCGATACGCTATTAAAATAAAGCTAACTTTATTTGTAACTATGGAATCGAATCATGGAAGTCGATTATAGCCTACTTCTAATTGTCATATCGATTTAAAACTTGTTCAGAGTAAAGTTTCGAATTTGGAAACATTTGATTTATTTGGAAAAGTTAAAAGCGCCATTTATCAAGATAAATTAAACCAATGGTTAGTATCGAGTAGATAGACTACGAGTATATGTACATATTATATTATATGATATATACGCTATAGTCTCCTTAAATAAACGGGCTATTATATCTGATGTAAAAAGAAGTTTTCAAATCGGATTACTAGTTCCTGAGATTAGCGCGTTCAAACAAACAAACTCTGCCTTTT